AATTATCCGACCTTATTATAACAGAAGAGGACGATTTACCATACGAGCTGTTTAAATAGTTCCGTTGTAATAAATATTTTATTTTAATGTCTACCGTGTTAAATAGCATTTATGTACTTATGTGTGTATATTGCATGCAGAATTTCACAGGTAAATGAAATATGAATTCGTTTATTAAAACATCCTGCCAGAAACGATTCTATTGGCATTTTTGTAAATCCGGTACAATTTATCCAACTTTACCATAAATTTTGTGATTAAGTCGACGATTCAACTCTGCTAATTTTTGATCCGTACCAAAGGTTCACGGGTAATAAAATTCAATTTAGTCATTAAGCAGTGTTTTTAATTCTCCTTATCGGATGAGTACAAGAATTCCGAGGCAGGCGGTCGGAATTTCAAGTGGCAGAAATTTTGTAAATTAATGCAAGGGGTGGAAGTCGCGGGCGGAATCGGTGGGCGGCGTCGGGGGTAGTAATGGCGCTCGAAGGGTTGCGTGCGGCGCCGCGTATGAACGGCGCCGCGACGTCTGAACGATTACGGAGTTAACGTTGCCCGAGCCTGGCACTTTTTCCACCCCCGGGGAAAGGCGGTTAACTTTTCCCGTGAAATACATAGGGAGCATCCGTTCCCGTGCCGAGCCCTCTTAAATATATTGCGACCGAGTTTCTTTTAATTAGTGGGACACCGTTCTGGCCTTGTCCGAAATAAAACCGTCACTCGTCGTGTCGAATAATGGGCCATCCGGATGAGACCGAATGATAGGATAAAATTTGAGTTCTCGATTTGGACTCAAAAGTTGCACAGCCGATCGTAAGAATCTGCTGTTCTTGCTATGTTTCAATCATTAAAAACTATTTCGGAATGACGTTTCAAGTACAACTTATCACGCTGAAATAATAGAATTTATAGAATCGGGCGCAGAAAAACTCCCTTTGCGCTTCCCCGATGAATCGATAGGGTGCACGGTCAATTTCATGACGATAAAACTCCTTGAAATTTTAATGCGCTTCCCGAGTGCCGATGAATGTTTTAATGACGATGAACTGGCGTCGCATGCATTTTTCATGGACACTTTTTTAGTGTCCCTCGATATGCACGCGTCGAGCCTCAGGAAATGCGAGGTCGATAATAATTTTTCATTTAATTATTTATCAGTGGAATTGTTGGATATCAGGCGTCGCAAAGTTATCGCGAAGCTTGCGGATGTTTTTCGAGCTTGTAGCGATATTTTATACCTTTCGAATTTGATATTCAAATGCGGAGGGGCAGCTCGACGCAGGAAAACGTAGTTCCTACAAGTCATTCGACAAGGCCCGTAAAAAGATTAAAAGAACCAGGCCGATAGAGAGGCAGGGAACTTTTCCACGGAGAGTGGGCACGGGGGTGGTTCAATTCTGGGGATAAGGGGGAGAACGCATCGCGATGTTCACACCGTGGCAGGAAGAAGAACGAGGGGGTTGGCGTTCGGGGGTGCAACGATGGTTCCATCCGAGGCGCGAGGGGTTGCCTCGTATCGGCATTCAGCTTGGGGGATAAAATTTCCCTGAGAATTGGATTTTCCCGGGGATTCCGGGAGAGAGTGGAAAATCGCGCGAACCAGAGAGGAATATCTTGACCTTTCGCCTTGGCGGTGATAAAGTTTAATGACCACTTTTCAGATTGGTCTGCCCTTTTTCCCCGTTAGGGACTCGACACCCCGTCGACATGACACAAATATTCGCGAACAAGGGACACCCTCAAAGTCTCTCGCCATTCCCAGGGAAACTGTCGAAACCTGCATTCTCCAACTTCCCGCCCTTCCACCCAACCCTCGCGACATTATTAACGAGAAAAATATGTCGGCTCACAAATGCAGGGTAACCTCGAACTTATTCCTCGAATCGACATTACGTAAGTCCCAGGTAGGGAAAGGCAGGACCGACCACCCTCCCTCCCCCGGGAACGGAGAAATCAATAGGGTGATTCGGTCCTAACCTTTCCAACCCGTAAGAATTTTCTTTTTCTATTTTTCCTTCCTCCGTTCGGTTTTCCTTTTACGGTAACGTAACGGGCGCATTGTCCGTGAAACTCTCATCGAGCCGCGATGTAGTCACGAAATTGAATGTTCCGCGAATGGACTTACGTAAATCCCGGGGAGGGAAAAGGTACCGCGAAATACCTCACCTCCACGGCCGGAGGAATCGATCGGGTGACTCATCGAGGGCGGTGACAGGACTCTCCCCCTCCCTTTCTCTCCTTCCCTTTTTCTCTCCCTCTCTTTTTCCCTCCCTCTCTTCGTCCCTCTCACGCGCGTAGCTTTCTCTCCCTCTCCCTCTCTCTTGCGGCTACTCGGTAACTCCGTCCCTCTCGCGCACGTGACGCGCTCCGCTACGACGAAAGCGTGTCCGAAGTTTCCAACTCGACTTCACCCCCGCCGAGATGTCCTCCCCCAACTCCGGCCCTTCGCCCAGCCTCGACTTAATAACGAGATGCACTCAAACCGCGTCGTTACGCACGAAAGTTCCTGCCATCGCGGGGTTTTTGCGGAAGTTACGCCCTTGCTTATGTTCCCTCCCCCTGGCCCAACGCCGTTATCTGCATTGGACGACGCGGTACAGGCTCGAAAATGGACCAGGGTTGGATAAACGTAAAAATATAAAAAGAAATTCAACACCGTTACAAACTCCAAACCCGAAAATTAATTGAAGCAATCGATTGATTTTGATTATATCTGCACGGATTACTGACTTATCAACATGTGGTAATAAGAAAAAATTAAAATCAGTACAAATGGCCGTCACGCGCCTTGGAAACGAAACTTCTAAGTTAAAAGAAATGATTAGTTCTAATTAACCTTTTACGAAATGCCTTTAAAGGTTCGGTATTGGTTGTTTTGAACATAACGGTAATAACTCACAGATAAACGTAAATTCTAATTAACTAAAAAAATATGTTTCACTTTTTAACACGCTCTTCTTCCTTAACGTGCGAAGCTTCTCGTGCTGCCGTGCTATAAAAAGTTTACTTAAAAAATGTGAACGTAGAATATGACACTGAGGAAGAAAACTTAATTGAACAAAAGAAATGTTTCTTTGAATAGTACCAGAAAACTATTTGGGAATCCGAAGAATAATTATTTGACTCAAATAAACACAAATAAATTGTCATAATTCCGAATAAATATTGCATCCAATTTAATCGAGGCTGTTTGGGTCAAATCATTATTCTTTGAGTTAACCAAATATTTCTTTGGTACTGTTTAAAGACATGTATCTTTGGTTCGATTACAATTTTTTCTCAGTTTACGGTTAGTGAAAAGGATTAATGGGACGTAAACAAATTGGAAAGTAGTTTGTTCGATTGATTTTCGAAATTGCGCCTAAGTGCGAATTTGTGTCAGTTGGCATCGGCGGCACTTAAGTGCCTTGCAAAGATATTCGGGTCGCAGACGTGACCGCCTTTGAGAGGTTTCGTTTCGCATCCCCGCAAAGATGGGGCGCAAACGCGGGGGTCCAAGGCGCGGCGAGGGAGACGTCTAGGGATAGGTTCCGACTCCTTGGCGCGACGCGACGCTTTAAACCCGAAAAAGAATCGATACCGAGAGCCGCGCAAATAGATAGGTGGCCGAACGAGGCCAAGGAGATTCGACTTAAGTGGACTTACACGTTGGCCCGTTTGCCGCCCTCAATGGCGGAGCGCGTCGCGCCGTTAGGCTCGATCCAGTTTTACACCGGCTTCGAGGAGGGTATTCCCCGATAATCTCGAGAACGAGGCTGCATTATCTCATTAGCGATGTAATTAGCCCAGAAACGCGAGTGCCTTGTCCTTCGAAGCCTCCATTTGGCGGCAAGGAGTAAAAGCAAATGAACGGTCATGCTCGGTGAAGTCCCTTGGCACATTAAGGAGTTCGAGTGAATCCGTGGTCAGGCAATCGCCGCGCATTTCAGAAATGGCTCAGGAATTATTCCGAAAACAAGCAGGTGGACTTTGACCGTCACTAGTTAAAATTAATGAAAGTGCATAACCTGTATTAAAAAATAATTACAATTTTTAATGTGATTTTTTAAGCGTTTATTCGACCGTCGTCTTTAACCAAGGAAGTGGTAGAAGTGAATACTTGACTCAACGACATATGTAATCGATTATGAATTTTCTTCCGACCTTCGCTTCGTGCTTAATATTTTCTACGACACACGTTGATATACTCCAGAGTATAAATTAATAACTACGTTTTTTTAACACGCTACTAGGGAGTGAAAATAGAAAATACGGGGAGCTGCCTAAAAGTGTACAAATATTTCGCCATATTTGTGTTCCATAGAAGTAGAGTATCTCTAAATTTTTTTAATACGTATATTAACAAATTGTTTATCAACGGGGACGGTAGTTGCAATGACATTCATGGCGGTTGACTCGGCGACGTGCGAAGTTTTCAAGATTAATAATTATATACATACGTGAATCATGCACGATTATCTCCGGTAATACGAAGGTGATACGCGAAATATGGGAGTGTATGTCAATGGTGACAAATTCGATCGCATATTTACCATCGTGTGGACCCTCGCGACCCGGCGGTGTTCCCTGACGATCGCGTCGCCATGACGGCGTCGGTATGGACGCACTCTGCCGTTACCTCTGCAGGGTCGTCTTGGCCGTGATAATCCTCGTCAGAAGTATAAGTAAGTTTTTCGTAATAACGTGCGCGGGATTACTACAAATAGGTTCACCTCGCGTAGAACCTCCGTAAAACGGTTTCGTCTAAAGTTTTGCGCTATTATTTTCAGAAAATATCGAAACACACAGACGAGAAATCTGTCAACTGACACGAAATAAAAATCTTTCATTTGATTATCGTTGCCGGCACTTTATTCAAGAAGAATTTATTTACCGCGTCCTGTCGGATCCAAGGCAGTCGTAAATATTCTTCTTAGCCTCTCAAGCCTCTAGAAATATATCTCTTTTATCCCACTTCCCCTGTCACCTCGAGATCAACATGGCGGCCATCTATGTTGCAGAGAACGGCCTGCTCTCCTTCGAGAACCCGAACTACCATCTCGACACGGCTCGACTCGATGACGCCTTGAACAGTAACGGAACCAGAAGTTCCCTGTACGAGGAACTGTATCGGGAAATCGTCGGGGACGGGAGTGACGAGGTGACGGGAACTAGGGCCCAAGCTCGAAGGACCTACGCAGCTCTCGATTTGGGCAGCATGGGCGTTGACGTCACCCAGGGCCCCCTCGCTCAGGACTCTACCGAGGACGCACCCGATAACACCGATAACCATAATCTGGGGTAAGTAGACTTCACCCGGTATCCCGGGACTCGTACGACCCCACTCGAACGACGGCACGATCGATCCTCCACCTATACGCCTCCGGGTCTCTATGCACCCCTCACTTACCGTGCACTTTATTCAATTTATTCGGATTTATTCACAGAGTGGATTCGACTCGATCGTTAATTAATCCCCCGGCGCAGGTATGCGGTCTGTGGCCAGGTTTTGTGGCGAGGAATCTAATCGCCTCCAAACGACGATTACCATTTATTGGCGGTTGTTGCCGCGATTTATAATCGAGTTGACCATTGGTCTATTGAGTTACACAGGACGTTTGAGCCATTACGAACAGCGAACTCATAATCGAATTAAGGTGACATGAAAGTGGCGTCTGAGGGGTCTCGTTTATGAAACTTTTCTCCGAAATGGGTGTATCGAATTTGGATATGTCGGATTTGAAATTTTGTTACTCAAGTTTAGAGGCCCCAAGGAAGGTCCTGGCACTCATAGAATTCCATATTTTTAAATCTAACTATGAACATTTTTAATATTTTTACAAAAAATGAAATGTTATTTCTGGGCGGCAGGGCGTTTTTTTTTTAGCCACCGTCCTCGCGTTGTAAAATTTCAAACAATTTAGTAACCTAGTTCGTAAGTTTAGTGATCGATTGATACATACGATGTTACTTTTATATCACCTTAACCTCAAATGATTTGGCACCAACTTTGTGCCGGAGATGCCGGACGCGGAAATATACAGTTTTATGTATTTTTCTTTGCTAGGATCCTAGAGATGTATTCTGAAGTTTCCTCGTACTGGAGTTGTCGTTCCTAGTTTCAGCGCGTTGAGAGTCGATGTTTCGAGACTACGGTTCGAAGTTTACGGGCGAAGTATCCTCGGGGTTGGAGGATCCTCCGGGTCCGTTCTCTCCAGGTGGAGGTGCCCGCGTGAGAGAAATGGCAGGGTGCGGACGCGCGCCGTAGATATTTATGTTGCCTTGTTTCGGAGAGTCTCGTAAAAGCCGGGGTCGAGATTCGCGGGAACGACGTCATCGCCGCCGTTCGTCTGTATTGCTAAATAATGTATGCGGCCCATCGATCTCTCTCTCTCTATTTTGGTCTGCGTTTCCGCTTAGGCCGAGCTTCCCTTTCGTGCTCGGCCGAGCGAAGCTCCCCAGACTTTGGTCAGGGAAGTTGTACTTCGTGCAGGGTAGCGAAGTTACAACTTAAGTCCTCAAATTTCTCTAAAATACCTGTCCACCAAATTTTATACTTCACGCCGTGTTTTCTCTATACATTTGTTACATTTTCGTAAATAGATTCCCGCGTAAAGTTTCCCCAAAGTTAGTAATGTCGAATTTCCTGTACACAAAATATTGGAATTTGATACTTTACCTAACATTTTTTAAAAATAACAATTACCTTTTTTGTCTCGCGTCGTATTTTTCTTACATGCAAGTATTATGTTTTTATAAAGGATATAGGAAAAGGAAGCTTTATTCCACAAGTTCAAGCTTTTTAACCAACTTTATGAATGATAAAACAGAGAAACTATAATTTGCGATAAAACTTGCTTATAAAATCTTGCGATAAAATATATGTGTCCACATCCGTTAATGTTTTCTTAGACTCTCGAGTCCTTGTGCCTCTTCCATAAATCCACGCAATCGGGATTATGCCGAACTGAGTTACTCCGGCGTACAGTCCCCGCTGATTTATGACTCCGATTTCCCGAGTGATCTTTTAAGACTTCAGTTCATTCAGGACTTTTAGAGGTTTCTACTAATCCGTCTGCAGGTCGCGCAACCAATAGGGAGTCTTACCTGATGAGCTTTACATCATCTATAATGCTTTCAATTCAGAAAACTAATACGAAACTTGAAAGCTACGACTTTCACGAACTGCAATTTTCTCACGCTTTCTATGTGCCCGTAACAGATGTTGCGTTTCTTTGGAAATTTCTTTGACGCTCAAGTCACCCGAATGTCGTTGGGATCTATCTAAGTCGAAGGTCCTTGCAAGGTGGAAGTGAATCCACGAAGTCTTGAGTTATTTCCAAGTCGGAGAGGACAAATTACGAGTTTCAGGATCTCCAGTAATCTCGTGATTTCAACTTTCACCTCCGAAGAGGCTGAGAGACAGGAAGAGGGAGCCCATTCGTTTCGGCAAAATCTCCATTGACCTTTCTCGGGATATCTTTGAAACTCAAGGCAGTTCCCAAAGAACGTTGAAGATCCGCCATATCGTCGATTTCACATTCACGGGAGAAGTTTACCTGCCCTTACCACTTCTTTATCTCGTTTGGAAGTCTTTTCCATGGATTCCGCAAGTTTGTGTCCTTGCCTCCCTCTTTAACATCCCCATTTTTTAATAATACTTTACTTTTTTTCGTTACTCAGATAGAATTTCGCACGTAACAAAAAGTAATCAATGCCAATAATATTCCACATACAAAAATCATGAAGCAACAATTTTTTATGAACTCACCTTTATTTAACTTTCTAGATTATTCCGTTCCCTACCTCACCGTATAATATTTAATTACCGCCATGGTTATTATTATAATTACCGCCACATAAACACCGCATAAAATTTAATTAATTTTATAAAAACTATTTTATGGACATCCGAGAAACCTGGTATCTAGAATTAATTTTACAATGCACTTGGAAGTCGGCTTTCACGAGAGTTAGGTTGATGTGGAACAAGGGTGAGTTCAACAACCCCTTTTCAACGGCCAGTCTTCTAACTCAGGGATTTCCGACTCGTACCTAACTCCGGGGGGCAGTTATGTTAACTGCATGGTTCAATCCACTTTTCTACTCGAACTTTTCGGCTCCGAAGAAGTCCTTCACCCCGATCAATCTTTATCGGCATCCCTCCCGCGATATCGCCCGGTCTGAATGCCCGGAACTCTTGGAAGTTTTCCACGGATCGGCGAGAATCCTCGTCCTCCCGTTCGTCTTGCATTCACAAACGAAACGGCAGATTTCCTTTCCCACCCTCACCCCTTTCACCCGTTTAGGGTGAAAGCCACTTGCGAGAATCGGCGTCGACGTTCGCCGGGCCACTTTCGGAGGACTTCTGGAAGACTTTCAGGAGTTGGTGCACCTCCGGGATTCATTCACTCGGCCGAGATTCCCAGGGGCTGCAAAACCACGAAGAGGGAGCGGTAAATTACTGCCCGCGGGGTGCCCAAACTGCAAAATTAATTTTGCAATTTGATCATTTAATTAAACTAATGGGGTGGACGGACGGGGGACGAATCGAATCGTCGAAAAGTTCGGTTCATTCGAGACCTCGGCGTTGCACCTGCATTTAATATGAACTTACAATTAGTTTATACTATGTCATAACATTTAATATAACATGATTTCCGTCGTATACCTGTAAATAACGTATTATATAATATAAACTCAATTTATATCATACTATTTTTACCCAATAAACAGTCTCAATGCGTCTCGATGAAATCCCTTCTACCGGTGACTAGAGGAAATTGCGTAATTTCGAGGAAAATTCAATGGAACAAGTGAAGCACCAAGGAGATAATTCACGATCTGGGCGACTCCGCTATTGTTCTTGCACCCATACGATATTATCGCATTTTACATAAACATTATTTACATCGCACAATAAAAGTGTTTTACTAAGTAAACAGCAACATACTTTTGACAAAAATCTTTGGATCAGCAGTTGGCGGAGATATTGCGCAACTTCGAAGATAATCCGAGAAGCAGTTCGTGGTGATTTCAATGGCGAAGACATGTCCGCGGACTCGCCGAAACGAACCAAACGAATGGAACGAATGGAACGTCGAAAAGTTGGACTCGATCGGGTCCAGCGGGACGTGGTCGGCATTGTGTCCGCATCGGAGGGACGTTCTCGATAAATAAAGTTCGCCGAGGGAGCGCGAGGTCGTAGAGTTCGATGGGCAGGGCCCTTTGTTACCCGGTTGTCCGGCCATCCCGGGAGCGCGTCGCGACGACCCGCGCCGGGATATTAGACGGAGGAACGGAAGGACGATAACTTCGGATTGAACTCAATCTAAACTTGCGGCAAACTTCCTGCCGGAGCTTCGATACCTTTCATACCTCGACCTGCCCTCCGCCTCCGGCTCCAAGGGAGGTGCAAGCCATAAAAGCGCAGCCTCCTTCAATGACACCGTACCGTGAAAATGTGCATTCTCTTCGTTAAACTTGTGAAATTCCTTGTTATTTCTTTGTTGGATTGAATTTAATGAAGGTATAGGACGACCTAGGAGTCGGGAATGTTATTAAAGGTAGAACTACACAAAAGCGTAGCCCCCCTCAGCTTCCTTGTTGCATCGCAGAAACGCGCAGTTATTTTGCCTAACTTTTAGTTAAATGTTGGGTTAAATCAAGATCGTAAATTAGTTTGCATAAAATGGAAGATAGCGATATCTTTTGTATCTAGATACTTGAGTGATTATACCAGATGAAAGAACAACATGCTTTAATCTTTATGCATCCTGCAGTTAAGAATTTTTTTCGTAAAATCTTTGAAATTTATGAGTATTTTTTTTTTCCGACGCGAATCAGGGAGTAGTTTAAATTCTTCCCGCGGTTTATTGACAAATTTGTTTGCATTCAGCCTGAATGTATTCTCATGGGCCATTTTCAATAAGGTCAGGTTCTCGTGTGCGGCTTCTACGCTCAGGGGCGGCGATGCAATGAGGTGGCGGTGTAGATGCATCTCCGCGAAATTACGGCTGCGGGGGTTTTATGCGAGCGGTTACATTGCGGAAATTCATGACTCGCGCAATTATTTCGTCGTCCGACGAACCGTTGAGCCGAAAGCTCGCCAAAGCTCGCCAAAAGCTCGCTGGCGGTTACTCCGACATATCCGTACAATACGACATTCGCCGCGAACAGCATTTCCAGAGCCTCCGGGGATGAGCATTTAAATAAATCATTCCTATTTCGAGCGGATGAGCGAACGAGAGAAAAACTCCGTTTTTCTTGTCTCCTGGAGGAGCGAAAAGTACCGAAGAGCT